TCCTCAGACAGGACGGGGTCTCAGGGCTCAGCTGTGTCCTTACACAGGACGGGGTCTCAGGGCTCAGCTGTGTCCTCAGACAGGACGGGGTCTCACACCCAGGCTCAGAGGCTTCTGGGTCATTTTGAATCCAGAGACACCAGGGTCCCCACTGCAGTCCAGTCAGGTCAGAATCCCGGTGTGCGGCCTGGGCATTACAGGGGATTTTTTAAAGCTCCCCAGGGAACATGCGGTGTGGCGAGGAAAACAAATTGTTGCCCATCTCTACCACTGGGCATCCATCATGGCTGTTCACTGTACTCACCAGGGCATGCTAAGACCCCCCATTGCCCAGTTTACACCTGGACTAGTTCAGCCTGAACCTTGGGGACCCAGTGGGGACTCTTTAAAGCTGTCCAGATAACTGCAAAGGGCAGCCAGGCTTGAGAACCAGTAATGCCGAGCTTCTGGCTACCAGTACCACTTGCCATCGACTGTTTCATGGGGACCCCATGCGTGTCAGAGCAGAAATGTGCTCTACAGAGTTTTCCATGGCTGACCTTTCAGACATAGATTGCCAGGCCTTTCTTCCGAGGAGCCTCTGCGTGGACTCGAACAGCCAGTCTTTCGGCTAGCAGCTGGGCGTGTTAACCATTTGCGCCACGATATCATCTCTATTTACTAACTGAATGAACGAGTTGCTTTTTTCTGCAATATGAAGGGGTTTGGCTGATCTCTCTGAGGACCTCCAAGCCTCAGGATGCCGCCCCTCTCCTGGGAACATCTCCGTGTCCCCTCCCCACCCCGTGTTACCAGAGCCTGCACGTCCTGAGATTCCCGCAGTAAACCCTCGGCTTCAGTCATTCTTTCTGTCACCGTCAGCAAGAGCTGCCGAGCTTTGGAGCTGGAACACTTAAACTGGTCCACCAGAAAGTGTGGGATGTGTTCCATCTGTTTCCAGAAAGCTTCCATCTGTGGAAGGAGAGAGAGAAATAAGGGGGGGTGGGCAAGAAAACAACATGGTTTTCTTTGGGGATTATGATTCGCTCCTGATCGCGAGCGGGCATCTTAAACAACTCGTGGTGAGTTCATTTCGGCAATAATCACATTCTATGGAGAGTTTCCTCCCTGGTCCCTGTGGGTGTCAATCAGCTTCTAAGACGGCTTTTCAGAGAACACCAGTGCCCTGCCGATAAGGCAGGAAAGCGATGAACTCACCCAGCTTAAACAGCTTAAAGACGAGCCGTCAGATCCTCATTGCTACAAGGAGAGACAGGTGAAATGGGATGGTGTTCTGGGAGCTCTGGGACCTTAAAAGGGGATTAAACGTGTTCTGAGAATAAAGGCAGGTACAACCATTTAAATATTAGTTATTACTGTAAAAGTATCAAGAGAGTAATACTGCAGAGATGGCCCTAACCATGAACCCATTTTGCTTTGAAATCTTTTCCCTGTCTCTCCTTCTTATCGGGAGCAGAGCTGGGAATGGCCAAGTGGCTGAGAATGTCGGGGGCTTAATGTGAAGCTGAAGGAGCCCTGGTGGCGCAGTGGTTAAATGCTCAGTTGCTAACAGCAAGATCGATGGTTCGGACCCACCAGCTGCTCCACGGGAGAAAGATGTGGCCGTCTGCTTCCGTAAAGATTACAGCCTACGACACCCTATGGGGCGGTTCTACTCTGTCCTGTAGGGCTGCTATGACTTGGAATCGACTTGACAACAATTTTTTTTTTTTTTTTGGTGATGTGAACCTGTAATCATTGCGGCGTCTCAGAGCTCCAAGAATAACAATGCCAGGAATTACAGAAGCTTCGCTTTATGGTGTGCAGGTTATATGCCAGGGTCTGTGCTTCCCATATTTTAATTCTAGATAAAATATGTACTGAGAGGGCATAGCACAAATGGTTAAGTGCTTGACTACTAACCAAAAGGTTGGCAGTTCAAATCCCCCAGAGGCGACTTGGAAGAAAGGCCTGGCGATCTGCTTCCAAAAAGTCACAGCCTTGAAAACCCTGTGGAGCACAGGTCTACACTGCAACATATGGGGTCGCTGTGGGTTGGAATCAACTTGAGGGCAACTGGTTTGGTTTAGGGACAGGCTTGGAGTAGTCAGGTAACTTCTCACAGGTCACGGAGCTAACGAGAAGCAGTTTTCTTGAAGATCTCTTTCTCTCTCATTTTTTATTTGTTTTTCCCGTGCGTAGATGCTAGGTAACTGTGGCCCAACAAGGGGACTGGTCAGTTTTGCCTTAAAAAAGAGTCAGTTCTAGAGCAGAGGGGAGGATTCTTCCACCACCAAGGAAGAACAGCCAGGAGCGGAGAGCGCATCCTTTGGACCCAGGATCCCTGTGCTGAGACGCTCCTGGAAACAGGAGACAGAGAGAGAAAGAGACAGAGACAGAGAGCAAGCTGTAACCCTTAATATGGTGAGAAGTGGTGGCAGGAGATACCTGGCAGCAGGAGATGGGTGCTGGGCTTTCTGGCCCACAGAGAGAGAAAGCTGAGTGCCTCTGGGGAGAGGCCTAGGGCCAGGGAGAGGCGTACCGGTAAGCACGGCTGGGAAGACGCTGTCTGATGAAAGAATAGTATCCTGAGTGTTCCTGAGCATGAATTGTAACCGTTACTTCCCTTATAATAAACCCCATAATCCTGAGTATGGTTTTTGAGTTCTGTGTGGCCACTGAGATGAATTACTGAACCCAGCAGAGAAGTAGAGAGTGCTGTGTGAGGGACGATTGGTGTCAAAATTAGTAAAGATGGTGAAGAGAGGAGGCATGTCTGATCTCCACCTCACAGCAATCAGCCTTGGGCTGTTGATCTTCGTTCTCCTTCTCCCTTGTGAAGTTAGAGGAGGTCAGACATTGCCCCAAACCATTTTTACAGCCACATAAATAAAACACAAGAAAAGAACCATATGATCATATCAACTGATGCAGAAAAGGCATGGGATGAAATTCAACACCCTTTCCTGAGAAAAACTCTCAGCAAAATAGGAATGGAAGGGAAATTTCTAAACATAATAAAGGGCACATCTGCAAAACCAACAACCAACATTATATTCAATGGAGAAAGGCTAGAGCCTTCCCCTTGAGAACAGGAATGAGACAAGGATGCCCATTATCACCACTTTTATTCAACATTGTTCTGGAAGTCCTAGCCAGAGCAATAAGACAAGAAAAAAAAATAAAAGATATCCAAATTGGAAAAGAGTAGTAAAACTATCTATATTTGCAGATGACATGATCCTATACATTGCTGTTGTTGTTGTTAGGTGCCATCAAGTCAGTTCCGACTCATAGCGACCCCATGTACAACAGAACAAAACAATGCCCAGTCCTGCACCATCCTCACAATTGTTGTTATGCTTAAGCCCATCGTTGCAGCCACTGTGTCAGTCCATCTGGTTGAGGGTCTTCCTCTTTTTTGCTGACCATCTATACATAGAACACCCTAAAGATTCCATAAGAAAACTGCTGGAACTACTAGAAGAATTCAACAATGTTGCAGGGTACAAGATGTACACACAAGAATCAGTTGGGTTCCTCTACAGTAACAAAAGTACTCCGAAAAAGAAATAAAGAAAATGATACCCTTTACAATAGCCCCCAAATCGATAAAATACCTAGAAATTAACCTAACCAGGGACATAAAAGACTGATACAATGAAAATTATAAAACACTACTGCAAGAAACTAAAAGAGACCTACAAAAATAGAAAGACATCTTGTGCCAATGGATAGGAAGACACAGTGAAAATGTCAATTCTACCTAAAGCCATCTACAGATACAATGTAATCCAATACAGATCCCAACAACATACTTTACTGAATGCAAACATTAATGACCAACTTCATATGGAAAGGAAAGAAACTCTGAATAGCCAAAGCAATAGTGAAGAAGAAAAACAAAGCAGGAGGCCTCACACTCCCTGATATCAAAACATACTATACAGTCACTGTTATCAAAACGGCTGGTATTGGTTCAATGATGGACACACAGACCAGCGGAACAGAATTGAAAACTCAGAATTAAACGCAGCCATCTATGAGTCAGAACTGACTCAATGGCACCTAACATCAACAACAATAATCTATGGACAACTGATTTTCGACAACGGGTCAAAGTCGATTCAATGGGGCAGAAACAGTCCCTTTAATAGCAAAACTGGATATCCACCAGCAGAAAGATGAAACAAGACCCATACGTCACATCATACATAAAAACTAACTCAAAATGGATCAAAGAACCAAACGTTAAACCTAAAACCATAAAATTCCTGGAAGAAAACAAACGGAAAAAACTATGGGACCTAATCTCCTGTAAAAATAGGCTAGCAAACATAACAAATGCACAAACAGAAGAAGACGAAATAGATAAATGGGACCTCATAAAAATTAAAAACTTATGCTCATCAAAAGACTATTAAAAGTAAACAGACAACCCACAGACTGGGAAAAAAACGACTTACCTGATAAGTGTCCAATCTCTGAAATCTATAGAAAACTGCAACAACTCAGCAACAAAAAAGACAACCCAATCACAACATGGGCAAAGGACATGAACAGAACCTTCACCAAAGAGGACACCCAAGAAACCAACAAATACATGAAAAGATGCTCATGATCATTAGTCATTAGAGAGATGCAAATCAAAACTACAATGAGATACAACCTCACCCCAGCTAAAATGGTACTGATTAAAAAAACAGATAACAAACATCGGCAAGGATGCAGGGAGACTGGAACCCCTTATCCACTGCTGGTGGGATTGTAAAATCGTACAACCACTATGGAAAACGGTATGGAGCTTTCTCAAAAAACTAGAAATATAACTATCCTATGATCCAGCAATCCCACTCATAGGTATGTACCCTAGAGACCTAAAAATAATGACACGAACAGACATAAGCACATCTATGTTCACTGCTGCTGTATTCACAATAGCAAATAAATGGAAACAACCAAAGTGCCCGTCAACAGACGAATGGATAAGCAAAACACGGTACACACATACAATGGAATACTACGCAACCATAAAGAAAGATGAGTCCGAGAAACATGTTACAACGTGGATGGACCTGGAGGGCATAACATTAAGTGATATAAGTCAAGCATTTAATAAGGACAAATATTGCATGATCCTTCTTTGATAAGAAGACAAGAACAGATATAGAGAGAGAGACCAAGGGCTGTTGGTGGTTACCAGGGAGAGGAACGGAGGAGGGGGAAGTATGCTTTGGATTTGTTATTTTTGGTGATGGGAAATGTAGCACCAAATGTGGATGTAGTGAGCACAGCACAACCAAATGAACTAATGTCACTGCGAAGCGCTCAAGAGAAAAGGCTGTCTGTACTGAAGAACTGGGCATATATAAGACGGCAACAACTGCAACAAAGACTAAAAACATGAGTGTTTGAGCGCAGATGGATGGGTACAGGCACACAGGTGTAACTGTAGGTGCAAGCTGTATACACAGGTGAGAAAAGATAGAACTATCCGTACCATCACCCACTGCCGTCAACTCGATTCTGACTCAGAGCGACCCTATAGGACAGAGTAGAACTGCCCCATAGAGTTTCCAAGGAGCACCTGGTAGATTCAAACTGCCAACCTCTTGGTTCGGAGCTGTAGCACTTAACCACTACGCCACCAGGGTTTCTGAAGTATCTATAGGTAAGTGTAAATACAAATATTTTGGTGCAGGCACATATATTCACGAAGACACATATACGGATACTCCTCAGACATAACCAAACACCATCCAAGATTGGTTTTTTGGGTTTGAAAGCAAAGGACCATAGTCTCATGGACAACTCAGTCGATGGGCATAACATAATTCACAAAAAAACCATGTTTTGCATCCTAGTGAAGAGAAGAGCATCTGGGGTCTTAAAAGCTTGGGAATGGCCATCAAAGATACAACTACTGGCCTCTACCTGCCAGGAGCAAAAGAGTAAGAAGGTAACCAAAAGTCCAGAGAAGAAAGAAGTCTACACAAGCCATGACCTCATCTACCCTGAGATCAGAAGAACTAGATGGTGCCCGGCTACTACCACTGACCTTTCTGACTGGGATCACAGTAGATGGTTCCAGATAGAATGGGGGGGAAATATGGAGCAGAATGGAAATTCAAAAAAAAACAAAACAAAAACAAAAACAAAACAAACCGGAACAGTAGAGAACAAGGACTCCCTGAGACTATCGCCCTGAGACGCTCTTTCAATCAGAACCAAGCCTATCCCGAGATCGCCTTTTAGCAAAAGAGCAGAGTGGCACACAAAATAAAAGATATTACTCGTAAGATCAGTGCTCTACTTAGAAACCATCTGTATGAGACCAAAAGGCCAACAAGTACTCAAAAACGAAGATGAGAAGATAAGGGGGCAGGGCAACTAGAGTACTAGAAATGGAATAACCAGAATACAAAGGGAATGTTGACCCATTGTGAAAAATATAACCAACGTCACTGAACAGCTTGTGTGGAAATTGTCAAATGGGAACCTAATTTGCTGTATACACTGTCACCAAAAACTCAATAAAATATTATTTAAAAAAAACACAAAAAACCCTATGGATCACTACGAACGATGCCTGCCATTTAAGTTAGCAGCTAGGATCCACCTACCCTAAAGGGAAGTAATGACATAGAGGGTTATAGCAAGCTTTGCTTTGATTGATAAAATGATCAATCTAAAATTTAAATGAAGGGAATTCATTAAAAAGCTCTCTCTGTAAATCTGCTCCTTAATTACACCTTCTCTATCACTTCACTTCAGAAACTGGATTCCAGCCTCCAGGGCAGAACACGACAGGGAATTCAAGTATTAAACATGCTTCTAAGTATTATTGCTTTAATCTAACCAATCTGACTGTCCCAGAAACTGAGGTTCTTTTACGGAAAGAAAATCCATCACATACATTATCTATGAGCTGCTCAGAATATTCTCTCTCTTTCCTTTCCACGTCGGCCAGGCTGATATATCCAGAGTCACCAGCACCCAACATTTCTGTATTTGACAGCTTGGTCTGAAGTTCCTTTTCTAATTCCTCCAAATCCTGAAAAAAAGAAAGCAAGTAGAATAATCTCATGTGTCTTAAATTCTAGGAAGATATAGGCTTTTCTTCTTCACCACATTATCACAAAATTTAACCATAATTAAATCCTCTCTGTGCAATATTCTACTTAGAATTTGATAAAAATGTATTTTTCTCATTTAACATAAAGCATCAAGAATAATAGATTATTTTCTTCTGAATAAAAAATATTAGACCATATTTGAACAAAAAACAATAGAAGTGTATCTTTCAGAACTTACGGAGATCTGGAAAATGTCATTTTAGGGGGCTGGGAAGGAATGTTTCTTCTCTACTTCCCTGGTTTCCATGGGGAATGATTACTCACTGCACCCCACGAGAGAAGTGCTATGTGTTTGACTGATGGATTCCAGAGCAGGAAGTGAGCACAGCAGCTCAATCTACCCAGCCTCTTCCTCTTCAGCATGGACCCTCCAGAGGAGGCCATTGCTCTGATGTGGCCTCGGCCCACACTAAGCAGTAAAGACCCTGGTTCCATGTGGGGAGGCCCAAGGTGGCCCAGCACTACTAGTAGGCAATTTAGCTAATTCTGGAATTTAGTGTTAGGAAGTTACATTCTGCACACTTAAGCCTCGTCCTCCAAGCTGGCCTCTATCAGTAATAGGGCTGACATTTCTATACACATCTCAATGACTCTTGGTCTCTCAATTGATCCAGAACACAGGAAGGAAGGGGGGAGCCCTGTGTATGAAGCCTTCAAACCCCAATGTGGAGAGTGGAAGGCAGCTCTATTTTCTCCAGAGCTCTGCTCTTTGACATGTAACCAACACAGGTGTAGATCCAGGTTCTCTAGGAAAGATAACACTGACAAAAACTGCTCCTGAGAATGAAGAACACCGTGGACACAAGGAAAGTATTAGCCCAAGAGACAGGAAGGGCCACATAAACCAGAGACTCCACCGGCCTGAGACCAGAAGAACTAGATGGTGCCCAGCTACCACAATGACTGCCCTGACAGGGAACAGAACAGAGAGTCCCTGATGGAGCAGGAGAAAAGTGGGGTGCAGAACTCAAATTCTAGTAAAAAGATCAGTCTTAATGGTTTGATTCAGACTGGAGGGACACTGGAAGACATGGCCCTCGGGCTCTCTGTTAGGCCAAAATTAAAACCATTCCCGAGGCCAACTCTTCAAAGATTAGACCGGACTATGGGACATAAAATGATACTCGTGAAGAGAGTGCTTCTTAGCTCAAGTAGATAAATGAGACTAAATGGGCAGCTCCTGTCTGGAGGTGAGATGAGAAGGCAGAGAAGGTCACGAGCTGGTTGAATGGGAATTCCGGGGTAGAAAGGAAGAGTGTGCTGTCACAGTATAGGGAGAGCAAGTAGGTCACAAGACAATGTATGTATAAATCTTTGTATGAGAGACTAACTTGAATTGTAAACTTTCACTTAAAGCACAACAATAAAAAATAAAACAAAACAAAACAAAAAAAATCTGCTCCTGAATATCTAAGCGCTGGGTGGATTTGAACTGCTGACCTTTTGGTTAGCTGCTGCAGCACTTAACCACTACGCCACCAGGGTTTGCACCTAAGCAGAGGCCTTATGTAATTTCTAATCCTCACGGCATCTCTACAAGAGAGAAATCATGGCTGTTTTCCAGATGAGGAACCTGATACATGGGCAGTTAAGATATTTTGTCCAAAGTCTCCCAGGTGGGAAGTGGCAGTGCTAGGCTTGTCACTCGACCCATCTGTCTCTAGACATTCCATTACTATTGCAACCTCCTCATCATGCAACTTCTATCTAAAGAGCAGCTGCCACTACAGAGCACTTCTTGATCTCCTCTGTGCTGGTAGCTTTAGGGCCGTTGTGAGCATTAAATAAAAGTATGCATTTAAAGCAGCTGGCCAGGTCGTTGCTGGTAGTTGCTGTTGAGTTGGTCCCCCGTGCACAATGAAACTGGACCCTTGTGATCCACAGGGTTTTAACTAGCTGATTTTTCAGAAGCAAATCGCCAGGTCTTTCTTCCTAGTTTGTCTTAGTTTGGAAGCTCTTCTAAAACCCGTTCAGCATCACACCAACACACAAGTCTCCAGTGACAGATGAGTGGTAGCTGTGTTTGAGGTGCACTGAATTGAACCCTGGTCTCTCGCATCGAAGGCGAGAATTCTACCCTTGAACCACCACTGCCCTCTCTGGCCATCCGAAAACCCAAACCAAACCAAATCCATCGCCGTCAAGTCAATTCCGACTCATAGTGACCCTATAGGACAGAGTAGAACTGCCCCAGAGGGTTTCCAAGGAGCAGCTGGTGGATTTGAACCGCCGACCTTTTGGTTAGCAGCCAAATGCTTAACCACTGCACCACCAGTGCAGCCTCAGTCTCCATAAACAGTAGCCATTGTTACAATTAAAAGGCTTGGCCAAGGTCAAACAGCTCTGTAAGTGGCAGAGGTGAGGTTTGATCCCAGGCTCTCATTCTTTCCATTATGACATAAGGCATTGTTTCATTATTACTGGCATAATTACCAATATCATTACCATTATCATTATTTCACCATTGGAAATTTATCTGAACTCATCGAGCCTCAGTTTCCTCAACTGAAAACAAAATAGTAATTCGCACTCACAGGGGGTATTGTGAAGAGTCAATGAAACAGTGCATGGAAATCACTGACTGTATTGCCTGATGATGATCACAGCAGTGGTGGTTCTGTGGAGGATGATGGCAATGACGATGATGGTGAACTATCACCTCCCAACCCCCCAAATTTCATGGTGGTGCTAATGAGGATGATGATGATGATGACTATGAATATGATGCTGATGATGTTAGTAATGATGATGATGATAGTACTGGTGGTGGTCCTAACGGGATGATGATGATGGTGGTGGTGGAGATGGTAAATGATGAAGATGATAGAACTAGCGGTGGTAACAAGGACAATGATGAAGAAGATGGTAATGATGGTGGTGATGGTAATGAGGATGGTGGTGGTAATGAGGATGG